CCCATCACTTCCCGCTCTGGTTTCTATTTTCCTTTAAGGCTCAAGGCCTCAGATGTCTTCTAATTTGTTTTCTTTACTTTTCTTTTTCTTTCTTTTTTTCTGCAACATAGGGTCTTGCTCTGCTGCCTAGGTTGGAATGCAGTGGTGGCAGTGCCATCATAGCTCACTGCAGCCTCGAACTACTGAGCTCAAGCAATCCTCCTGCCTCAGCTTCCCAAGTAGCTGGGACTATAGGTGTGCATTACCACACCCAGATAATTTTGGCCTCCCAAAGTGCTGAGATTAGAGATGTGAGCTAACTCACCCAGCCAATATTTGTTATTTTAATTTTTAAAAATTAAATTTTATTTATTCATTCATTCATTTTTTACTTCATAGCTCATTTTAATGCTGAAAGCCCTTTTCATTTTCTTCTGTGGGGAGTTGAGGGGAGGGGTGGGCAGGGACAGAGTCTTGCTCTGTTGCCCAGACTGGAGTGCAGTGATGCAAAAATAGCTAACTGTAGCTTTGGATTCCTGGTCTCAAACAATCCTTCTGCCTCAGTCTGAGTAGCTGGGACTACAGGCATGAGCAGGTATTTAGATAATTAGCCACCATGCTGGCTGATTGTCTAAATTTTTTGTGGAGACATGTTCTTACCATGTGGCCCAAGCTGGTCTTGAACCCCTGAGTTCAAGCAATCCTCCCACGTCAGCCTCTCAAAGTGCTGGGATTACAGGCATGAGCTATCACATCCAGCCCCTAATTTTCTAAATATAATTACATAATTATTGGATTGGTATGTAGTCTTACATTAGGACATTTTTCTTTATATCAGATTTATGTGATGGCCATGAGTGTCATTGCCAACACACTTGTGCAGCTAGCATTCTGGGTGTAAATTATGTTATACCAATTAGATCTGCAGGTGAACTATGCAACAAACTATAAAACTTTCAGCTGCAGCCAACCACTACTAAACATCTACTATCTATAGCAAAATAGCTACTTAGTAATGTCTGCAAGGGATGCCTCTGATTCTCATTGCAATTGGAAGTGACAGTGGAAGTGACCTGTTATCCTTTCCCATTTCAGTAGTGCTTTCTGTGTAAGCTCATTTGTTTTTGGTTGGCATACTGAAAATTGAGCTGAAGAGCCTGGAAGATGAGGATAATCCATCAAAATCCAAGGCATCAAGATGACAGTATCAAAATAGAGAATACTCAACCATCAAAGTCCATTTACTGAGCAACTTCTGTTTGCCTGTGCTTTGGGCTGAACACTAAAAAGTCACAACGCCTTTCCTCATGTAGATTTCAATACACTTGGAAAAATCACAACACGTATATGAGCAACAATTCCCAAATAAGACAGTGGAGAGAAAATCGTCAAGGTCCATCTTCCTGACGCTCTGCAGTATGTAGTGCTAGTGAAATTTCGGCTGCGGTCGCTCTTTGGTATTGAGAATCCATTGTTGGAGTGGCAGCCAGATAGCACGATTCAGTAATGAGGCAGTTGCGGTGGTGGCTTCTACAGCCTCCTGATCCTGGCTTTATGATCTCTGAATGGCATTTTGGGCAGTATGCCAGGGATCTTTTGATCCTAGCAGTTCAGTTTTGGCCTCCTGATCTTCACTCTTCTGTCTATGGCAAAGGAAGCGTCATTCTTGATAGACCAGTTCTGCAACATTCTGGGAGTCATGCCAGAGGTTTGCCTAGAGCCCACCCTACCCTTTCTTCCAAAAAGTTTCTAAATATTTAATCTAATATACTATATTTAATCCCTTCCTGTTTAAAATACCTAGAGTAGGCCAGGCTTGGTGGCTCATGCCTGTAATCCCAACACTTTGAGAGGCCGAGGCAGAATGATCACCTGAGGTTGGGAGTTTGAGACCAGCCTGACCAACAAGGAGAAACCTGGTCTCTACTAAAAGAAAAACACAAAATTAGCCAGGCGTGGTGATGCCTGCCTGTAATCCCAGCTATTGGGGAGGCTGAGGCAGGAGAATCGCTTGAACCCGGAAGGCAGAGGTTGTGGTGAGCCAAGATCGCATCATTGTACTCCAGCCTGGGCAACAGAGTGAAACTGTCTCAAAAATCAAACAAAACAACAACAACAACAAAAACCAACCTAGAGTGTTTCTGTTTCCTGCATTGAACCTGCCCTAATATAGTAAATTTTTAATTACTTGAAATATTTAATAAGAGCTAATGAACTACTTATATAATAATATGCTAATTTTTTTTGAGACGGAGTTTTGCTCTTGTTGCCCAGGCTGGAGTGCAATGGTGCAATCTCAGCTCACTACAACCTCCACCTCCCAGGTTCAAGCAATTCTCATGTCTTAGCCTCCTAAGTAGATGGGATTACAGGCTCCCACCACCACCCCAGGCTAATTTATGCATTTTTAGTAGAGATGGGGTTTCACCATGTTGGTTGGGCTGGTCTTGAATTCTTGCTCTCAGATGATCCACCTGCCTCTGCCTTCCAGAGTGCTGGAATTACAGGCATGAACCACTGAGCCTAGCCAGGATTTAATCTTTTAAATAAAATTATTTTTAAAAATATAAGTATTAATTGAATATTAATCACAGAACAAGTAAAAATAATGAATCTCATTTTTTGTACAATATAGGATTAGATTAATAATTAACAAGATTTTTAAGTTGAGTTTAAAGACTTAAGAAAAACTACTGGGTTTAGTGGCTTACACTTGTAATCTCAGTGAATCAGGAGCCTGAGGCAAGAGGATCATATGAAGTCAGGAGTTCGAGACCAGCCTGTGCAACACAGTAAGACCCTCACTACAAAAAAAAAAAAAACACAAAAATTAGCCAGGGGTGGTGCATAGTGATGCACAGCTATAGTCCCAGGTACTCAGGAGACTGAGACAGAAGGATCATTTGATTCCAGGAGTTTTCAGGCTTCAGCGAGCTATGATCACACCACTGCAGTCCAGCCTGGACAACAGAGAGACTCTATCTCTAAAAAAAAAATTAAGGTTTTTTAAAAAAGAAAAACTAGGCAGGACATGGTGGCTCACACCTGTAATCCCAGCACTTTGGGAGGCCAAGGCAGGTGGATCACCTGAGGTAAAAAATTCGAGACCAGCCTGGCCAACATGGGAAAACCCTGACTCTACTAAAAATACAAAAATTAGCTGGTCATGGTGGTGGGCGCCTGTAATCCCAGCTACTTGGGAGGCTGAGGCAAGGAGAATAACCACTTGAACCCAGAGGTGAAAGTTGCAGTGAGGTGAGTTCTCACCACTGCACTCCAGCCTGGGCAACAAAGCAAGACTCCATCTCAAAATAAAATAAAAGAGAAAAAGAAAACAATAACTAGATTTTAAAACTGATCAGTTTTACTTTATTGAATATCATTTTTTAAAAAAAATAAGTAGCTCTAAATAGTTCCCCCCACAACAGAAGTCTTCTCCCTCCTAGACTTTAATTTTTTTTTTCTTTTGAGACAGTTTCCCTCTGTCACCCAGGCTGAAGTACAGTGGTGAGATCTCATCTCACCACAACCTCTGCCTCTCAGGTTCAAGTAATTCTCCTGCTTCAGCCTCCTGAGTAGCTGGGATTACAGGCATGTGTCACCACACTCGGCTAAGTTTTGTATTTTTAGTAGAGACAGGGTTTACACCATGTTGGCCAGGGTAGTCCAGAACTCCTGACCTCAACTGATCCACCCACCTCAGCCTCACATGAGCCACTGTGCCTGGCCTCCTCATCTCCTTTCTCTTTCTTTTCTTTTCTCTTTCTTTCCTTCTTTCTTTCTTTCTTTCTCTTTCTTTCTTTTTTTTCTTTCTCTTTCTTTTCTTTCTTTTTCTCTTTCCTTCTCTTTCTCTTTCTTTCTCTTTCTTCTCTTTCTCTTTCCTTTTCTTCCTTTCTTTCTTTCCCTCCCTCCCTCCTCCCTTCCTTCCTTCCTTCCCTTTCTTTCTCTTTCACTCCCTCCCTCCCTTTCTCTCCTTCTCTCCTTCTCTCTTTCTCTCTTTTTCTTATTTTGAGACCAAGTCTTGTTCTGTCACCCAAGCTGGAGTGCAGTGACACCATCTCAACTCACCGCAACCTCTGCCTTTCCAGGTTCAAGTGATTCTCCCACCTCAGCCTCCTGAGTATCTGGGATTACAGGCGTGCAACACCATGCCTGGCTAATTTTTATATTTTTAATAGAGTCAATGTTTTGCCATGTTGGCTAGGTTGGTCTCAAACTCCTGGGTTCAAGTGATTCAAGCAATCTGTCCACCTCGGCCTCCCAAATTATTGGGATTCCAGGCATGAGCCACTGTGCCCAGCCTCCTCTTAGACTTTAAAAAGTACAGCTGAGCCAGGCAAAGTGGCTCATGCCTGGAATCCCAGCACTATGGGAGGCGGAGGTTGGCAGATCTTGAATTGCTTGAGCCCAGGAGCTCCAGACCAGACTGGCTAACATAGCAAAACCCCATATTTACAAAAATACAAAAACTAGCCCAGTGTGGTTGAGTACTCCTGTAGCCCCAGCTACTCGGGAGGCCGAGGTGGGAGGATCACTTGAGTCCAGGAGTTTAATGCTGCAGTGAGCAGAGATTGAACCACTGCTCTCCATCCAGCCTGGGTGACAGTGAGACCCCTTCTTCAAGGAAAAAAAATAAAAATAAAATTTAAAAAAAAGGCCAGGAGTGGTGGCTCACTTCTGTTGTCCCAGCCTTTGGGAGGCTGAGACTGGTGGGTCACCTGAGGTCAGGAGTTCAAGACCAGCCTACCCAACATGGTGAAATCCCATCTCTACTAAAACTACCAAAATCAGCTGAGCATGGTGGCGGGCGCCTGTAGCCCCAGCTACTTGGGAGGCTGAGGCAGAAGAATCGCTTGAACCCGGGAGGCAGAAGTTGCAGTGAGCTGAGATCCAACCACTGCACTCCAGCCTGGGCGATAAGAGTGAAACTCTGTCTCAAACAAACAAACAACAACAAAAATCCCACATACATAAGCCCCAAGAAACAGAGAAAAAACCTGACGTTAATCAGGAGGTTTTACCATTCTGTGAGCTTTTCCAGTAGGGAGATATTCTTTGGAAACTTAGGCCAAAGAACTACATCATATTTCCTCCAGTGGTAGCATTAGAGGTCAAGTCCTCTGTAGCCAGGGACACATCTGTTTCTGTATGTAACATACGGAAAGAATTTCTCAACTTTTTTTTCAACACAGGCCATATTTCCACCCCTAAAACACAAAACAAAAACCTCAATTTAGGCAAGAACTTCAAACTTCTTTCCCACTAAGCTATTTATCCATATATTTTTTTAATTTTTTTTGAGACAGAGTCTTGCTCTGTCACCCAGCCTGGAGTGCAGTGGCACAATCCCCGCTAACTGCAACCTCTGCCTCCTGGGTTCAAGCGATTCTCCCACCTTAGCCTCCTGAGTAGCTGGGATTATAGGTACACACCACAACACCTGTCTAATTTTTTGTATTTTTGGTGGAGACGGGGTTTCAACATGTTGGTCAGGCTGGTCTCGAACTCCTGATCTCAAGTGATCTGCTTGCCTCAGCCTCCCAAAGTGCTGGGATTACAGGCATGAGCCACTGTGCCCAGCCTCACAATATCTCATTAGTCATAAGACAGACTGACTTGAATTTCACATCTTATTCCTTCCTCTGAAGAACAGTAAAGTTGATCAGTCTAACCACAAATGTTGAAAAGCAAGGGAATAAGTTTTTGCAGCCTGAATAAGAACCACTGTTTATTATGGTGCAGGGCACAGAGTATTGCAGAGCATAGAGTGCTACTCTATGTGCAGGGCACTCTACGACTAGTTGATTTCCATGTTATTTAACTTAATCTTCACAACAGCTTTATAAGTGCTGTTAATGTCCCCATTTATTAGATGAAGAAACAGAGGCTTAAGTAGGTTAAGAGAGTTGTGCAAGATCACACAAGTACGAAGTGGTATTGGGGATTTAAACCCAAATCCATCTTGTTCAAAGCCCATCTTTCCACTGCAGCATCATGCCTTTTAGTGATAAGATACACGGGCTGTGACTCTGCCAACTTGTGGCTGCCAATAAGCAAGAAGCAGATGTTGGTTATTTTCTTAAGCCACTGAAATGTTTGAAGTTATTACTGCAGCCTTACCCAGCAGAAGCTGGCTGATATAGGTATCTTTATTTTCTGTTTACAGTAGTGTAAACCTTGGAAACTGTTTTAATATTAATAACTTAGTACAGTGCAAACCATGCTTCGTGAGACCCTCTATTCATTTATACCATCCCCAAACAAGTTTTCTTTTTTTTTTAAACAGGGTCTCGCTCTGTAGCCCAGGCTGGAGGGCAGTGGCACAATCTTGGCTCACCGCAACCTCCACCTCCCAGGTCCAAGCAATCCTCCCACATCAGCCTCCCAAGTAGCTGGGACCACAGGCACGTGCCGCCATGCTTGGCTAATTTTTGTATTTTTTGTAGAGATGGGGTTTCACCATGTCACCCAGTCTCCCAGTCAAGCACTTTATTTATACAAAGTCTCAACAATGATTGATGTTCTCTGGGGAAGACTGAATCTGTTGGGGCATGGCTTTAGCATTCAAATAGTTGAATACAGATTCCTGTATAAATTTATAGAGAAGTGTATTTTCTCAACTGCAACTAGATAATTTTAAGGCTATATTGTCAGATTGGAAATGTAAATAGAGCCCCAGATTTTCATATGTGTATTTGCGAAGTAATTAAGAATTTATAAGAAACTTACTAGAGAAGCCAGGAGCGGTGGCTAACGCCTGTAATCCCAGCACTTTGAGAGGTCAAGGCGGGCGGATCACGTGAGGTCGGGAGTTTGAGACCAGCCTGAACAACATGGAGAAACCCTGTCTCTACTAAAAATACAAAATTAGCCAGATGTGGTGGCGCATGCCTGTAATCCCAGCTACTAAGGAGGCTGAGGCAGGAGAATAGCTTGTACCCGGGAGGAGGAGGTTGCGGTGAGCAGAGATGGTGCCATTGCACTCCAGCCTGGGCAACAAGAGCGAAGCTCTGTCTTAAAAAAAAAAAAAGAAAAAGAAAGAAAGAAAGAAACTCACTAGAATTATGACCTAACATTATTAACAGGCAAATGCCTGTAATTTTTTTCTAGCCTGGATTTAGTTGAGGCTAAGAAAACGTATAGTAAGGTGATAAGCCCTTACTGTATCTACAGAGGTGGAAGACATGAATAATCCTTTAGGGCAGACTGTTTCTTTTGTGTTAGGAAGTTTCCCTAAAGGGGCTCTTTAGTTGCACAAATTAAAAGCAACACTCATTTGTCTTGGGAAAAGATAAAGAAAGCTTTTTTTCTGAATGCAAATTTTTTTTTTTCCAGACACAGTCTCACTCTGTTGCTAGGCTGGAGTGCAGGTGCAATTACAGCTTCCTGCTGACTGGAACTTCTGGGCTCCAGTGATCCTCCAGTGTGAGCCTCCTGAGTAGCTAAAACTACTAGCATGTGCCTCCCTTGTTGTTTGTGTGTGTGTATATGTGTGTGTGTGTACAGGATCTTGCTATGTTTCCCAGGCTGATCTCCAAAAAACTGGAGACTCAGAGCCAGGGGAAAGATTTTTTTTCTCCCTTGGTGTCTGAATTTGATAGAGTAGAAATTAACTTGGAGTAAATTGTAGCTGGTGAGCAGAGTGGCTCCTGGCCACATGGAGACACATGGGAGGCAAAGAAGGACCCCCTGGATGTGGGTCTGGACTGTAAACTGTAACCACATCTAGGAGCCTCCTGGGGCCAGGGTGGTGGCACCAGGACCAGCCTGAGAGTGAGTGATCCCAGAACTGTAGAAAAACAATAGGAACATTTTGGAAATTTCACCTGCAAATTCCACAGTGAGTGGACACTAATATGTACTTAGAACAAAACCTGTTATGGACTCATTGTGTGCCACATTACTTCAATGCAAGAATGGTTACAGAAACCTGCCATCAGTGAACAATTTTGATCAACTAGACTAAAAAAAAAAAAAAGAAAAAAAGAAATCCAGTGGCAGTAAAGCCACACCTCCTTTTCTAGGCAGGGCAGATGGGCAGGAGAATTTCTTTCCAGCAGCTATCAGTAACTTATCACTGTACTATAGTAGCGGCTGATGAAACACATGTAAGCAACTTATCACTTGGAAAGGTTCATTATTTATGTTTGCAACTATTAATATATTACCCATGACAGAAACATCTGCAAGAGGAAAAGGACATGCATGGCAAAGCTGAATATTTGAATGAGGTTAAGCACAAATGACAAAAGCAGGTTATTATTTTCCTTGTGGTAAGGGGTTGACAAATTGTTTCTGTAAAGGGTCAGATAGTAAATGTTTTAGGCTTGAGAGCCATGAGCTCTTTGTTGCAACAACTCTGCCTTTGTTGCATGAAACCAGCCATAGACAGTATGTAAACAAGTGGGCATGGCTGTGTAAAACTTATATATGGACACTGAAATTTGATTCTCATAGAATTTTCACATGCACAAAATATTATTCTTTTGTGTGTTTTTTTAAAACCATTGAAAAATGTAAAAGACATTCGTAACTCATGGACATTCCAAAGAACAGGCCATGGGTCAGAGGTCATAGTTTGCTGGCCCAGTGCTCTGGGTCTGGTAAGCTCCGAAGTGGTTCTGCAAGTAAATATACAAAAGTAATCCTCAGAGACGTTGGCTCACCTAACCTGGAATACCTTTTAAACAGCAAAGAGGAAAAACGGTAATCCTCAGAGACGTTGGCTCCCCTAACCTGGAATACCTTTTACAACAGCAAAGAGGAAAAACGGTAATCCTCAGAGACGTTGGCTCCCCTAACCTGGAATACCTTTTAAACAGCAAAGAGGAAAAACGGTAATCCTCAGAGACGTTGGCTCACCTAACCTGGAATACCTTTTAAACAGCAAAGAGGAAAAACGGTAATCCTCAGAGACGTTGGCTCCCCTAACCTGGAATACCTTTTACAACAGTAAAGAGGAAAAACGGTAATCCTCAGAGACGTTGGCTCACCTAACCTGGAATACCTTTTACAACAGCAAAGAGGAAAACTGTCACATACTCAAAACTTCAAACCAAAAACTTTATTAAAATTAATTTTCAAACATGCTTGATGGCAGCAGTAACATAGGATACCACTATTACTATTAATAAAGATAGCTAACATTAAATAGAATTCACAGTATAAGAATCATAAAAACGACCAGGTGCGGTGGCTCAGCCCTGTAATCTCAGCACTTTGGGAGGCCAAGACTGGTGTATCACCTGAGGTCAGGAGTTCAAGACCAGCCTGGGTAACATGGTGAAACCCCGTCTCTACTAAAAATACAAAAATTAGCTGGGCATGGTGGTGCATGCCTGTAGTCTCAGCTACTCGGGAAGCTGAGGCAGGAGAATTCCTTGAACCCAGGAAGGTGGAGGTTGCAGTGAGCTGAGATCACGCCATTGCACTCCAGCCTGGGTAACGAGTGAAACTCTGTCTCAAAAAAAAAAAAAAAAAAATTAGCTGGGCTGGCCGGGCGTGGTGGCTCACCCCTGTAATCCAAGCACTTTGGAGGCCAAGGTGGGCGGATCATCTGAGGTCGGGAGTTCAAGACCAGCCTAACCAACATGGTGAAACCCGTCTTTAAATAAATAAATAAATAAATAAATAAATAATTAGCTGGGCAAGGTGGCTCGTGCCTGTAATCCCAGCTATGCAGAGGCTGAGGCAGGAGAACTGCTTGAGCCCGGGAGGCAGAGGTTGCAGTGAGCAGAGATTGCACCACTGCACTCCAGCCTGGGCAACAGAGCGAGATACAGTCTCAAAAAAAAAAGAAGAATCACAAAAACAACGGTAGCATTTTTAGCAATTAAAGCTATCTTTGGCCGGGTGCAGTGGCTCGCAGCTGTAATCCCAGTTCTGTAGGAGGCTGATTGCCTGAGACCAGTCTGGCCAACATGGTGAAAACCCATCTCTACTAAAAATACAAAAAGAACTTAGCTGGGTATGGTGATGTGTACCTGTAATCCTAGCTACTCGGGAGGCTGAGGCTGGGGAACTGCTCGAACCAGGGAGGTGGAGGTTAGAGTGAGTCGAGATCGCACCACTGCATTCCACCCTGGCTGACAGAGCAAGACTCCACCCCAAAAAAACAAACAAACAAAAGCATATCTGCAGTATGTTTTTATAGGACCTTAAAGAGCCACCTACTCTAATTAGGAAATGTGCAATTTGAATTGGACTTTGATTTTAAAAAGAAAGAACTAAGCAGAAAGAGGGGAGGGCAAGTTATAATAGTAACAGGAAAAGAAAAACATAGTGAAAATACATATTTTCATAATATTTTTTTTCTTTTCTTTCTTTTTTTTTTTTTTAGACAGAGTCTTGCTCTGTCACCAAGGCTAGAGTGCAATGGTGCGATCTTGGCTCACTGAAACCTCCACCTCTTGGTTTCAAGTGATTCTCCTGCCTCAGCCTCCCGAGTAGCTGGTATTACTAATTATTAAAAAATTACTAACTATAAAACATACAAAAATTAGCCGGAATACCTTTTAAACAGTAAAGAGGAAAAACGGTAATCCTCAGAGACGTTGGCTCACCTAACCTGGAATACCTTTTACAACAGCAAAGAGGAAATTTGCTGGCATGCACCTGGAATCCCAGTTACTCAGGAGGCTGAGGCAGGAGAATCGCTTGACCACGGGAGGCAGAGGTTGTAGTGAGCCGAGATTGTGCCATTGCACTCCAGCCTGGGCAATAGAAAAAGACTCCATCTCAAAAAAAAAGAAAAGAAAAACAATTCTTGTACCCATTGTGTCTATTCACTGACAGCAACATGATTAAGTTTCCATAGAAACAATATTCTGCTCACCTAACTTCCCACCTTTTTCAAAGAGCAGTCAGTAGTCAATAATACCCATTTTTAACAGATAATGTACTAGTAATAAAGGACATTACAGCAGAAATCTCCTCAACATAGTTTACTAGGGAAGATGAGACAAAAATGAAAATTTAAAATACACGATTTCTTTCCTTTTCAGAGAATATTTACCCCTGAATCAAGTGGCGTAAGGGAACAGAGAATCTTCCCAGTGAATTGTTTCTGGAAGTAAACTCCTGTACACAGTGGAATCGACTGGTACTCCCAACTTTCTAAGTGTCTCTTTACCTGGTAGTAAAAATAACAGTTATCTGCACAGAAAACAGTAGGGATTGGCACAACAAATGTTGGAAACAGAGTTTCCAGATTAGGAAAGCCATATTTCAGTGCAAATTTCTCTCGGACTTCCCCTACTCCCAATAATACATTTGGAGGAATGACACTGGAGAGAGATTTTGCTGATGGTGGAGATACAGAGGTTTATTTCCCCAGTCATTAAAAAAACAAAACAATGTTATTGAGTCATAATTTACATACCATACAATTCGTCTGCTTTAAGTAAACAATGCATGATTTTAAATATATGCACATTTATGTAACTATCACCACAGGTGGAGTTTTGAGTAGAAAGCAAATAATTGAAAAATTGTGTCTCATGATTTCAGCTCTTACAGCAATTGACTCTGAATTTCTTTCTTCTCCCCCAACCCACAAGTAATCATTTTCAGTGCAAAGTATGGTGCTGACACTAATATGAGGGAACTTCAAGAAGTTTATGGAAAAAAATGGAATTAAAATATAAAAATAAAAACTTTTTCTCCATAAAATCTCCATCAAGCTCAAGACACTTTTTAAGTAATGATACCAGCCATTTAGTCCATCCCTAAAGAACTTCAGGTCCTGGGAATTTAACCATGTCAATGTATTCTTTTTCACTTTTTTTTTTGAGATGGAGTCTCACTCTGTTGCCCAGGCTGGAGTGCAGTGGAGCAATCACGGCTGACTGCAACCTCTACCTCCTGGGTTCAAGCAGTTCTCACCTCAGCCGCCCAAGTGGCTGATTCCAGGCTATTTTTTTTTTTTTTTTTTTTTTGTATTTTTAGTAGAGACGGGTTCACCATGTTGGCCAGGCTGGTCTTGAACTTCTGACCTCAGGTGATCTGCCTGCCTTGGCCTCCCAAAGTGCTGAGATACAGGTGTGAGCCACCAGGCCCAGCCCTTTTTCACATTATTAAAAAAAAAAAAAAAAAAAAAAAAAAAAGAAATGCCATTTACACATTTTTAAAGATTAGGAAACAAAAAGGTGTCAGAAGGAGTCAAATAAAGACTGCTAGATGGGCCAGGCACACGGCTCATGCCTGTAATCCCAGCACTTTGGGAAGCCAAGACAGGAGGAGTTCAAGACCATCCTGGTCAACATGGTAAAACCCGTCTCTACTAAAAATTCCAAAAATGAGCCGGGTGTAGTGGTGGATGCCTATAATCTCAGCTACTCAGGAGGCTGAGACAGGAGAATTGCTTGAACCCAGAAGGCATAGGTTGCAGTGAGCCAAGATCCAGCCATTGCACTCCAGCCTGGGCAACAAGAGCAAAATTCCATCTCTAAATAAATAAATAAATAAATAAAATAAGACTGCAAGGTGGATACTTAATCATTTCCCATCAAAACTCTTGCAAAATTGCCCTTGCTTGATGAGAGGAATGAGCAGTATTGTCATTGTGGGGAACTCTCTGGTGAAGCTTTCCTGGGCATTTTTTTTTTTTTTTTTTTTGCTAAAGCTTTGGCTAACTTTCTTATATCTGTTTGTTCTCATAATAAGCACATATTATTCATTCCAGAAAGTCAACAAGAAAATGTCTTGAGCAGCCAACAAAAATTGATGTCATGACCTTTGCTTTGGGACTGGTCCATTTTTGCTTTGACTGGACTACTTCCACCTCCTGGTATCCATTGTTCTGGTTGTGCTTTGCCTTCAGGATTGGACTGGTAAAGCCATGTTTTATCTCCTGATATAATTCTTCAAAGAAGTGCTTCGGGATCTTGATTGCACTTGTTTAAAATCTCCATAGAAAGCACTGCTCTTGTGTGCAGCTGATCCATTGTACAGTTTTAGCAACCTTTGAGTGGAAAATTTGCTCAGCTTAAATTTTTCAGTTAGAATTGTGTAAGCCAACCCAACTGAGATGTCTATGGTGTTAGTTTATTTTGGTTTCTGCTATTAATTGTTGGTTGTCTTCTATGAGAGCATGTGAGAAACAAACTTACCTGTCCAAACCCAAAGAATGAACTCAGAGAGCCAGAGGACAGAAAAAGTGAGACTTTTAAGGATGGTCTTGCAAGACTGGGTGTCTTCTTTTTTTTTAGATGAAATTTTGCTCTTGTCACCCAGGCTGGAGTGCAGTGGCATATCAGCTCACTACAACCTCCATCTCCCAGGTTCAAGCGATTCTTCTGCCTTAGCCTCCCAAGTAGCTAGGATTATAGGTGTCAACCACCAAGCCCTGATAATTTTTTTTTTTTTTTAGACATAATCTCTGTCACAGGCTGGAGTGCAGTGGCATGATCTCAGCTCACTACAACCCCTGCCTCCTGGGCTCAAGTGATTCTCCTGCCTTAGCCTTCCGAGTAGCTGGGATTACAGGTGTGCGCCACCACACCCAGCTGATTTTTTTTATTTTTAGTAGAGACAGGGTTTCACCATGTTGGTCAGGCCAGTCTCAAACTCCTGACCTTGTGATCCACCCACCTAGGCCTCCCAAAATGCTGGGAATACAGGTGTGAGCCACCGCACCCAGTCAATTTTTATATTTTTAGTAGAAACGGAGTTTTGCCATGTTGGCCAGGCTGGTCTCGAACTCCTGACATAAAGTGATCCACCTGCCTAGGCCCTCCAAAGTGCTAGGATAATAGGCATGAGCCACAGCGCCTGGCCCAGCACAGTTTTAACAAACAACTTATCCTCTACTTGCGCAGGTCCCACCCCGGGTTTCTCAAAGGCTGAGTACTATGGGGTCACAATCTTCCCCAGATGTCACCTATTGATTATTAGGCAGAGGGTTTAGATTTTTTTTTTTAAGGTTGTCTTGCTGCATTTTATTGCAGCCCACAATGCATTGCAATCCTAGTTAGCTCAGGTGCTTTTCAAGTATTTAACTTATGACCTAAGTAGCTGGGCAGGCTGATAAGAGTAGACAAAGTGAGCTATTTTGCAGACTTCATTTTAGACAAAACTTTTTTAGTTTGGGTGAAGGCAACTAAGAGGGGAAAGAAATATGGGAGAAAGAGGGAGACTGACAAGCAGTCAGTGGCTATCCAAACAGGGGCCTAGTATGTTCCGTTTCTTCTGTAGTTTGCTGACCTAAGCCGAGGCATTTTGTCTTGGAAATGGACCACTGTATACATTATGGTCTTCAAGCATGACAAGATTAATTTTTTCCTTGCAAACTGATGTGGGTCGTCTGACACTGCTGGCTTCCTCTTCAACACTGTCTCATCCTTTCTTAAAATGAACTCTCCAATTATAAAATACTGATTTCTTTGAGGCATTGTGCCCATAAACTTTTTGTAAAGAATTAATGATTTCACCATTATTTCACCCAAAGTTCACCATAAGTTTGATGTTTGTCCTTGCTTCAATTTTAGCAGAGTACATGTTGCTTTGATAGGGGCTCTTTTCAAACATACGTCTTATCCTTCTTAGTACCTCAAACTAGTTCCTGTTCATACATGTTATAACAAGTTAGTATGGGTTTATTTTGGTGTAAAACAATTTTGAAATCCATGTATGATTTATTCATAATACGCATTTTCCATGAACTTTTGACAAGTCTCCTCCTGAGATTATTAGATTGAATCAAAAGTATTTAAAAAGTTTCTCTTGGAGTAACTAACTTTTCCACCACACAATAGGGTTAAAAATTAGGTTGCTTCCAACAGTGAAGCTGGTAAAGTCCATACTTACTAAATCAGCTGGTTGGTGAGAGCAATCCATAAAATTGCTAGTGAATGTATAACTAAGGAATTTAGAAAACCCTCAAACTCCTATTAAGATGAGGATGTAATCTTAGGAGGCAAAACTATAACTGGGTGTAATATGCTCATCACAAAAGGAATCAACCATCTAGTATATTGTTTAAAGAAATGTGTGAAGATTAGCCTGTAGAAAGAGCATTGCCAGTCTTTACCCAGCACTGTCCAAGGAACAGAGACACAGAATCCAGAGGCTATGAATTTTCCTGTCTTTGAGAGAAATACTTTGTGGTGGGGCAGGGATCATTTATCAAGTATCACCATGATCTGAATGAAATATCCCTCAAAATGATTCACCTTGTTTTGTTCTTATTTCCAAATAAGTTTTTATTTGCTTTTTTGATGTTTACTCTTGTGAGCTGAAATGTGTTAACTGTGGACAACTGGTAACAGCCTTAATTGTAATCATCACCAAGCTAACACCATCCAGGGAGACCTGATAAAACAGCTGTCAAGACTTTTCCTGCCATATACTGACCTCATCATCAACTCCTGAACAGTTGGTTACATTCAAATAGAAAAAAAAGATTCCAATAGAGAAATAAAAATGTCCCATTCACTCTCAATTAAGTTCTATTTTGTATTCTGCTGAACTGAACAAAATCGGAAATGACTATGTTAAATTAGACGGACAAGAAATTAAAGCAAATTCAGGCTGGGCATGGTGGCTCATGCCTGTAATCCTAGCACTTTGGGAAGCCAAAGTGGGCAGATCACTTGAGGTCATGAGTTAGAGACCAGCCTAGCCAAATGGTGAAATCCCATCTCTTCTAAAGATACAAAAATTACCCAGGTGTGGTGGCACACACCTGTAGTCCCAGCTACTGGGGATGCTAAGGCATGAATTGCTTGAACCTGGGAGAAAGAGGTTGCAGTGAGCTGAGATCCTGCCACTGTACTCCAGCCTGGGTGACTGAGCAAGACTCCATCGCCAAAAAAAAGCAAATTCAATTATATTTGTCAGAAATGAAAATACCTTGAAATTAAAAGTACCTATGTGTATTGTCTCATTCCTTTTTTTTTGAGATGAAGTCTCACCCTGTCACCCAGGCTAGAGTGCAGTGGCTCGATCTCTGCTCACGGCAACCTCTGCCTCCCAGGTTCAAGCGATTCTCCTGCCTCAGCCTCCTGAGTAGCTGGGATTACAGGGGTCCGCCTGGCTAATTTTTTGTAACTTTAGTAGAGACGGGGTTTCATCATGTTGGCCAGGCTGGTCTCAAACTCCTGACCTTGTGATCTGCCCACCTCGGCCTCCCAAAGTGCTGGGATTACAGGCAGGAGCCACCACACTCGGCCCTTCATCTCTTCTTAAAATGAATTACCCAATTATTGGCTTATCATTAATTAACAGAAGATTTGCCTGTATAAATTTAAATTGATGGAGAAAAGAACAGAAAGAAAATGTGTCCAGCAAATAACTTTGAATAAAAGAATCAAAAGGCTGCAAGTTTTTTAGAACTCTCCTCTTTTCTGCCATTCACTTAATGGAACAATGCTAGAAACATTAAATTTGTTGAAATAGTATCTCTTTTGGTCCTCATCAAAAAAAAAAAAAAAAAAAAAAATTCAGGCTCTGGCCAGGCACAGTGGCTCACACCTGTAGTTCCCTCCCTTTTGGGAGGCTAAGACAGGAGGATCACATGACTTCAGGAGTTCGAGAGCAGCCTAGGTAACATGGCAAGACACCATCACCATAAAAAATACAAAAATCAGTCTGAAGCGGTGGTACAGGTACGTACTCTACTAAAGTTACAGGTACGTACCACCGCTTCAGACTGATTTTTGTATTTTCTGTAGTGATTTTGCATTTTTTGTAGCTGTAGTCCCAGCTACTTAGAAGATTGAGGTGGGAAGATGGCTTGGGTCCAGGAGGTTGAGGCTGAAGTGAGCTGTGATTGTACCACTGCATTCCAGCCTGAATGACAGAGCAAGTCCCTGTCTAAAAAAAAAAAAAAAATTGGCTGGGTTCAGGGGCTCATGCCTGTAATCCCACCACTTTGGGAGGCTGAGGCTGGTGGATCACTTGAGGCCAGGAGTTCGAGACCAGCCTGGCCAACATGGCAAAACCCTGTTTCTTCTAAAAATACAAAAATTAGCTGGACATGGTGGCACATGTCTGTAATTCTAACTACTTGGAAGGCTGAGGCACAAGAATGGCTTGAGCCAGGGAAGCAGAGGTTGCAGGGAGCTGAGATCACATCATTGCACTCCACCCTGGGTGACTCAAAAAAAAAATACATACATATATATATATATATATACACACACACACACACACACATATAGTTCTTTTCCCTTTTGGGATCTATGGACTCCTTTAAGAATTTGATTAAAATTTCAAATCCTCTTCCTAGAAAAAAGTACACACATGCATATATTTTTGTAGATGTACACATGCATAAAACTTTGGAAAATATTACAGAAAGTTCGACTACCGAACGTCATCTGTGCATATATTGAGGGTCCACAGACACAAGACCAAGCATTCCTGCTTATTTCAATTTGATTTTTTTTCTTTTTCTTTTTTTTGAGACGGAGTTTCACTCTGTCGCCCATGCTGGAGTACAGTGGCTCGATCCCGGCTCACGGCAACCTCTGCTCTCCGGGTTCAAGCGATTCTCCTGCCTCAGCCTCCTGAGTAGCTGGGACTACAGGCGCACGCCACCATGCCCAGCTAATTTTTATATTTTTAGTAGAGACAGGCTTTCACCATATTGGCCAGGTTGGCCTCAAAACTCCTGACCTTGTGATCTGTCGGCCTGCCTCAGCCTCCCAAACTGCTGGGATTACAAGCGCCCGCCACCACACCTGGCTTTTTATTTTTATTTATTTATTTATTTATTTATTTTTTGAGACGGAGTTTCTCTATTGTTACCCAGGCTGGAGTGCAATGGCGCGATCTCGGCTCACTGCAACCTCTGCCTCCTGGGTTCAGGCAATTCTCCTGCCTCAGCCTCCCGAGTAGGTAGGATTACAGGCACGTGCCACCATGCCCAGCTCATTTTTTGTATTTTTTAGTAGAGACGGGGTTTCACCATGTTGACTAGGATGGTCTCGATCTCTTGACCTCGTGATCCACCCGCCTCGGCCTCCCAAAGTGCTGGGATTACAGGCGTGAGCCACCGCGATTGGTTTTCACCATGTTGGCCAAGCTGGTCTTGAACTACTGACCTCAATGTGACCCGCCCATCAAAGTGCTGGCGTGAGCTACCACGCCCAGCCTGATTTTAATTTGAATTCATTACCTTAAAAATCCCTGGATTTAACATAAAAAATCTAGATTTTAGACGTCGGAAAAAAATGTAAAATATTATCTCCCAAGACTGCAGGCAAGTAGATCACAGTCCTGAGTAGCAACCGCGGTCTCTAGTGGTTACGGTTCTCACATCCATTTCGCTCCATTTTATTACCTGAGAGGACTGGTAGTTTCAAAACCTGGTATATCAGTAACTTTTAGGGAAAACTGCACACACGCACCCCTTCTTCCTTCTCTTTATTTGAAAGGAAACAACGGAAACAAATTTGCAAATCTTTTGCGCCAGTCCCACGGATAGGCGACTAACAAGAGATACAGAGGTGTGGGTCCCAGAGGCGGTACGGTGTTTTCACCCCTTCCGGATAGCTAGTACGACCTACCCACCGCGACTAAGCACAAGGAGTGCTGAACTAAGCTATGCAAAGTTCTGACCAGAAGGTGGAACGGTACTTAGTGAAGAGGATTTATTTAGGAATCGAAATCGGTTTTGCTAAATTAGACAAATCTCATTGTCTAAGGAGCCACGCCCTGTTCGCAGGAGGAGAGGGAAGACAAACCAACGCCCCAGCTCTCCAATGGCACCTCAGCTCTGAACTAGACGCACTCTACAAGGATGCCTGGGTTTCCGGAGCAACCGCCCGGTCCCTCCCCCTTTGGCCCCGCCCCCGAGACTCCTTCCCGCCAAAGGCCGTTATCGCCGCAGAGCATGGTGGGACAAGGCTCTAGGCTAGGTTTCACCAAGTCCTTTCAAGGCGCCGAGTTGCTTTCAGAGATCCTCATTCCTGGGGAAACTGACTGTCCTTCAAGACCCGACCTGGAAGACTAGCTCCTTTAGAGAGAGTTCTTTATTTAACTTTTACCAAACGGCCACTCTATTCGCAAACCACCCCAAGCCGGGAACGCGGGGGACTTTTTTTCCCCCTTCGTGCGGAGGGTGACGTCGCGCGTGCGTGCGCGCGCGTACGTTGAACGTAGTCTTCGCAGCGCGTGCGTGTTGGGATCGAATCGCTGTTTCCTTCCGCTTCTCTTCCTCTGTCTCCCCCCCCCCCATATCCGTGCGCCGAACTGATAAAGGCGCCATTTTGGAGGGGCCGCGGGAGACGTGGTGCCGCTGCGGGCTTGCTCTGCCGTGCGCTAGGCTTGGTGGGAAGGCCCGTTCTCGAGTCCACGTTTTTCGTCGCCGCCATGTCGGGAGGTGGTGTGATTCGTGGCCCCGCAGGGAACAACGATTGCCGCATTTACGTGGGTAACTTACCTCCAGACATCCGAACCAAGGACATTGAGGACGTGTTCTACAAATACGGCGCTATCCGCGACATCGACCTCAAGAATCGCCGCGGGGGACCGCCCTTCGCCTTCGTTGAGTTCGAGGACCCGCGGTGAGGCGGCATGGGGCTTGCAGCCTTGAGGAAATAGGTCCGAGTGGTCGGGGAAGACTCCAAGGCCTTAATATAGAGAACGGGAAGGCGGGGGCTCTTAGAGAGGATGGGGCGAGACTGTATCGCCCATGCAGGAGTCGAGTGAGGAGCTGAGTTGGTGTGGCTTCTCTGGCGCCTCGCCTTGGACGTCCCCGGAGCCCATTCGCAGGCTGGAGCGGGAAACTGAGGCGCTGAGGGCTGGTGTAGTGGCTGGGAGCCTGGCGTGTTTCTGGGTGGGGGAGGGGTCATTCCCATTATGCGGCGCATGTGGGCTCTTCCACGTTGGGTGCGCATGTGCGGGGGGTTCGCTGGTTCCCGACTGAGCGATCTTCTCCTCCTGGTCTTTCTCATGCCTTTTACTGTCTACGATCCCGCAGGGACGCGGAAGACGCGGTGTATGGTCGCGACGGCTATGATTACGATGGATATCGTCTGCGGGTGGAGTTTCCTCGAAGCGGCCGTGGAACAGGCCGAGGAGGCGGCGGGGGTGGAGGTGGCGGAGCTCCCCGAGGTCGCTATGGCCCCCCATCCAGGCGGTCTGAAAACAGAGTGGTTGTCTCTGGTAAGTCTACCGGTTGTGTGGTTGATGTGAAGGGACGGAAACTACTTAAAAATTTTCTCTTGCGTGACCGGTTTAACAATTGCAAATTTTTCATGCTAGGTCTTAAATTGCTTTAGTTTTTGGGTGAATTTAATAAACGAGGATTGCTGCTGTGGTGATTTACCAAATTAGGTTGCGGTACTAGATACGAAGATCCGTTACAAATAATTTTGGACTCTGGATTCCAGAATCTTACCAGCTCTTTACCTGGTATCACTTAAGTACAACTATTAAGTATTTTAAAGTACTCTTTGTCCTAATGTACCTTATCAGCTTAACGTGAAATTTAAGATAATTGATACTAAGAAAAAAAATCGCTTTTTCAGGACTGCCTCCAAGTGGAAGTTGGCAGGATTTAAAGGATCACATGCGTGAAGCAGGTGATGTATGTTATGCTGATGTTTACCGAGATGGCACTGGTGTCGTGGAGTTTGTACGGAAAGAAGATATGACCTATGCAGTTCGAAAACTGGATAACACTAAGTTTAGATCCCATGAGGTAGGTTATATGCTTATTCTTTTTTTTGACCAGAATTGGATACAGTGGTCTTAACAGTGGAATTTGAAGGTAAGGATTCAGGCAAGGGTGTCCAAGTAAATTGCCAGATTTCTGGTTTTAGTTACATTGTATTCATTCAGCATGCCTGAAGCTAGGTGAAAGCTTAGATCTTTCAATGGAAAGTTCTGTCTATCCAATAGGGAGAAACTGCCTACATCCGGGTTAAAGTTGATGGGCCCAGAAGTCCAAGTTATGGAAGATCTCGATCTCGAAGCCGTAGTCGTAGCAGAAGCCGTAGCAGAAGCAACAGCAGGAGTCGCAGTTACTCCCCAAGGAGAAGCAGAGGATCACCACGCTATTCTCCCCGTCATAGCAGATCTCGCTCTCGTACATAAGATGATTGGTGACACTTTTTGTAGAACCCATGTTGTATACAGTTTTCCTTTATTCAGTACAATCTTTTCATTTTTTAATTCAAACTGTTTTGTTCAGAATGGGCTAAAGTGTTGAATTGCATTCTTGTAATATCCCTTTGCTCCTAACATCTACATTCCCCTCGTGTCTTCGATAAATTGTATTTTAAGTGATGTCATAGACAGGATTGTTTAAATTTAGTTAACTCCATACTCTTCAGACTGTGATATTGTGTAAATGTCTATTTTGCCCTGATTTGTGTGAACTGGGATGTTGGGGATGTTTATGGTTATCTTACCTGGGGAAGTTCTTATGTTTATCTTGCTTTTCATGTGTCTTTCTGTAGACATATCTGAAGAGATGGATTAAGAATGCTTTGGATTAAGGATTGTGGAGCACATTTCAATCATTTTAGGATTGTCAAAAGGAGGATTGAGGAGGATCAGATCAATAATGGAGGCAATGGTATGACTCCAAGTGCTATTGTCACAGATGAAATTGGCAGTATTGACCTTATACTAAAAGGCAGGGGGGTAAAAATGATTATATACATTTTCCTTAAAACACTTGAATGTTTTATTCAGTTACCTTTAGCTACAATTGCTTTACCTTTTAAACCTTGGCAATTGTGGCAAAATTATGTTGCCCATTTTGTAGCAACTTATTTTGCTCCCTTCCCCCCATTTTTGTTATAATAGGGACTAATGTGGGAAGAACTGGCTAATTTGTCGCAGTGCTTAGTTACAACTGTTAATGTGTGACCTGCTGTTGGTGTACATGTGGGTAGAGGGTGTCTTTAAATCCAACAAGATAGAGTATAATATCAATACTGCTAAATCTGCATGTCCTCTGTGTGACTGATAGAGCGTTGCTATTTCATTTTTTTAAGACAAAATGAAAGCAAAATAATAGAGTTCCAATGTATTGGTGTAGATAATCTAGTTGGGAATACTTAGGTCTCACCTTCCCCTTTAATATTCATAATTGATTCATATGTTTAAAACACTTTAATTTACAAATTAAATTGCAAATGGGAGCATTAGATTTAGTTTTAGATTAGGTGGGTAGCAATGCCAGTAAACTTAAATTACATAACTTCTTGCAACCACGAAACCTGTAATACACTGTACAGTAACAAGTGTTGGCATTATCAGTTGAACTGTAAATATAAGATGCTTCTTCCAGTTAGTCTCTATGATGATTAAGTTTCTAAAATTTATCTGAACACCATTCAGAAACTTGTTTTGGGGAATTTGATAGTTATTGATGTGCATCTGTTAAACTGATGACTGACATAACTCATCATTCCCCAGAAACCTTTTTTGATTACAGTATCTAACGTTTTGCCTCCTCTTTTTTGGTTTTGCTGGTTATAAAGGTTTGGATTGGAGAGGGCTCACTGGATCCCAATCCTTGGAGCTGGATCATTGGATTCAAATCATAATGTGGATAGGATAGGGAGGATGAATTACCAGGATTCATGGAGCGGGATCAGATTACCAGGAACATAGGAGTGGATTCCTGCCCCAACCAAACCGCATTCGTGTGGATTTTTTTATTCAACTTAATTGGCTATTCCAAAGATTTTTTTTTTTCCTATTTTTGACGATTGGAGCCCTTAAGATGCACGATGGAATTGTGTTTTGCATTTTTTGGTAAAAGGAGCAAAGCGAGGACCTGGAGATAAACGCTGGAGCAATCTCCTTGGAAGGATTCAGCACGAGTAGATGGTAAACATTTAAAGGGGAAAAGGGGGGGGTTTGTTTAAAATAGTAAATCAGTAAGTCACTTCTAAATTTAAAGAAAACAAAATTGGAGTTGAAGAATAAGTAGGTTTCCAATTGGCTATTGCCATTTTTCTTTGAAAAAATAAACATTTTTTAAAAAACTATGCATGGTTGTCCTTTTTCCTCTTCATGTAAGATTCTAACTGGGTCTGTCAGTTAATCTTTAAATTGTTAAGTAAGATTTTGACTCTTGTGTTTATATGTTAGCAAATTAAAAGTTCTTAAAAGGCAATCTAATGGTATTAGCTATCTTTTATTGTTAATTGTAAAAGTCTTCAGGGGAAGGCAAAAGGGGAATAAGGCGTTTGTATATGTAATGTAAATGATGGTGGGGGGTGGGTCTAGCATCTGAAAGATAAGCTTCTCAACTTTGTAAAGTGATTTAAAAACTACAGATGCTGCTTATTTTCTGGTAGTCATATAGGCAACAGGCTTTTGTGCAAAATTGGTTGATGGCTAGTAAATTAATTTTCACTTGGAAATAGTTTTGATATTCTCAAACTCACCTCAAAAAAAGGTAAGTATTAAATGTTAACATCAGCACAGATGTATTATTAGAACTGGTTTTTGTTTTTGAGACAGAGTCTAGCTCTATTGCCCAGACTGGAATGCAGTGGTGTGATCTGGGCTCACTGCAACCTCCACCTCCTGGGTTTGAGTGATTCTCCTGCCTCAGTCTCCCGAGTAGCTGGAATTAGTGTGTGCCACCTCGTCCAGCTAATTTTGTGTTTTTAGTGGAGATGGGTTTTCTCCATGTTACCCAGGCTAGACTTAAAACTCCTGGCCTCAAGTGATCTCCCTGCCTCTGTTAAGATTGCAGGTGTGAGCCACCGTGCTTGCTTGGCC